CCCCCCCCCTTTCCAACAGGCATGCAGTATGGATATGTTGCTAATAGTGGAGCTAGCTCTGCCTCTGCCACCACCTCAGGCCCGGCCGCAGCCCCCTCGTCATCCAGCTCTGAGGATGATGATGATGATGAGGAGGAGGAGGAGGAGGATGAGGAAGCAGGTCTGCTTTAGCTTTTTATCTCCCCAAAACCCATTCATCACCACTTTCTCCATCCCCATGAACCCACTCCTCTGTGTCCTAAATTAGAGATGCACCGGTTGCAATTTTTGCACTGAAAAAAACTGTGTGTGTGTGTGTGTGTGTGTGTGTGTGTGCGCGCACGCGCAACGTAAACCCATCATGCACATGTGTGTAAATTGGATATATGATCAGTGGCTGATCAATCGGTGCATCTCTCTCTTAACGTTCCCATGCTCTTAAACTTTTTTTAAACTACTCCATCATTATTTACCGTTGGTCACCGTTTGACTGCTAGCTCTCTCCTCTTCTGTGTCTCTTCTGCTCTACGTACCAACACGCTTCATCAGTGTGCAGCTGATATTTCTCCCCGCTCTCACTCCTGCTTCCTCCCCACAGTTCACCCGGTGCTTTCCCCTCCTCGCACTCATCAGCACTGACACCGAAATCATCTTTTAAATCTGTGTGTGTACTCTGCTCTCTGTCGCTCCACCTCCGAAAAACTGAAATTAAATTTCTCAGAAAGGTGAGAGGTAAGTGTGTGAGCGCTTCGGTTGCTCTTTAAAAGCCTTCTGGTAGTTTCTGCTCGTCTTCATTGTCTCGCTGTCTCTCACTCAGCAGTCTTTGTCATCGTCTCTCTGCAGCGCTCCAATTACCAGTTTCACTGCAATATACACGTCCTGCACCTCCATGGAAGCAACAAAATCATGGCTCTAAGTCGACTCAAAGTATTACACGGTTATAATACCAGAAATCATAAAAATCAGAAGAAGAAAAAAACTGAATCTTGCTGAAAACGCTAAAGTTAAATTTCTTTGATAATTTCTTTTGTAATAAAATGGAAAAACCAATGAAATCTATTTGCATAACATTTCTTCTAAAGTGTTTCCATTATTGGAAATGAGGGGACTCCACGTTGTGTACATGTTGAACTCTTTACGTTTGTACCGCCTCCTGTCTGCTTCATGTAAACACCGCTCAGCTGAAGTCTAACAGAGTTTTGGTCACGTGACCCGAATGTTTCCTGGCTTCTCAGATGAACTTAAGTTTTTTTTTACTATTTCAAGCTTCGATTTGGTTACTTGTCCCGATGGAAGCGTTCAGCACTCGTGACTCGTTCAAGGACTGTCGGAAAACTCAGTTTCAGAAAATAGTTTCTGTGTAAACGGTGTGATTTTGGCAAATTTAAGGAGAGTTAAATGGATAAACTCCCCTGAATAGATTTAAGGGTAAAATAGACATTAGCTGCAGCCAGATTTTCTGTTACGTTAATGTCTACATGTAACACCAATATGTTGACGTTGCATAACTTGCATCGCTTTAAAATTACATTACGTCACAATTGCATTAATATGCTTACAATCAATAAGGCTGAACTTGCATCTCTTATGTTTTCTGTGTAAAAGAAGTATTTTTGACTTGAACAGCGTATTTGTGTGTGTGTGTGTGTGTGTGTGGTGTGAACCACTCCAGTGTTCTGCTGATGACTCCCTCAGGAGTTGTGTCATCATCCAGAGTGTAACGCGTGTTTAAATGGAGCCTCTCCCCCTGAGAGAAGCTTGTTTTTCCCTCTGGTGATCTCTCTAATTCTCTCAGGTTCTCAGCTGCAACCAAATGCCAACTGTTGATTTGTGGAGGCCACGATAACACCTCAGAATTGCGATATTAATAACGACGTTTTTCCAAACTGATCACTTTATGGCATTCAAAATGACATATAGATAATAACCATGTGTTACATTGTTATGCGGTACTCTTCAAATGTGGGAAAACAAAATCATTTAATCAATACTTTACTTTGGTAATTATTGTTTCATGTATTTGGACAGCAGAATTGTGTAAAAGTAATAATATAATATGTTCATATTATTAGGTTAATGGTACCACTAAATAATAAAATGTTTAGAATATGTCGAATGTTTCTTACTAGGTTCGATTTACAAACAGAATAAAAAGTTAATCAAGAACAATGAAGAAACTACACTGGTAGGTTACATTTTGGTACAAATATGTATCACTTAAGGCTGCAACTAATGATTATTTATTTAAATTAAATAGAAAATAGAGAGAAAAGTGTCCTAAAGCTATCCTTGTTTTATTAGTGAGACTTGTGAGGAAGAGATTATAAAGGGAACGCTGTATGAATGGAGCGCTAATTACTCTTATAACACCTGGCTCGCTCCAGCAGGAAGACGAGGGTGAAGAGGTGTCGGAAGAATCTTTGAGGAGGAGGAGGAAGGCTAAGCTGTCCTCCTCCTCCACAGCAGATAATCCAGCAGTCTGCTGGTCCGATTTAGTCCGAGGTAATTGGATCGCGTCCCGTCCAATGAGCCGTGTGCCAGGGGGCTGGCGTGTCTCCTTTCGGCCCACATGGATTAATGGGTTCATTCAAATATTCTACTCTTGTAATCCTTCTTGAAAACCCTATTCGGACATGAGAGGGAGAACAGCAACAGACCACAATGCAGTGCATCCACGAGACTCGTCTTGTTGTTTTTGTCTTTCTGTGATCGGGTGCAGCAGAGAACCACACACAGAGAGAGAGCATGCTTCAAACGTGCACTCATTAGTCACAACTCTTCTGTTTCCTGCTCCCCCTCTTTCCTCCGGTTTGTTCGGCAATCTGGGAAATGTATGAAGTCAATAACTAATAGTAAAAGCTGTGAAGCAAGTGGAGGGAAAGCGCGTAAAGAGTGACAACTCTGTCACATATTTATGGCGCGCTGTGGAGTTTTCTTGTTAATGTTTAATACTCACTAAACAAACGTGTTCCTCATAAAACATTAACATTAAAGTCGTGCATGTTGAGGAAAGCAACATGGACTCAGCGTCCATGGTTCAAACTCCTCTTAAAGTGAACCCTCACCACGGCGCTCGTGTCCGTCCTAACTTTTGTTTGAATGGATGCCCTCTGTTTGGGTTTGTTTAATAAAGGGGAGCAGCGTGTTCGTTAAGGAGAGCCAAGTATGGAAGAAAGGAGCTTCTTGCTGTTTTACTGTAAACATGGAGGAACACGAGAGGACTCGATGTTTGCTCCTGTGCTGCAGTTATGTCTGCTTCTAACCATCAGTCAGTGTGACGGTTCATGTATTCGTTTAGTGAGTTATGTTACACAAGTGTCTGTTGTTTTACTCCGTCTTTAACGATAATCTAACTTGCTTTATTTCTCCTGGTCGTGTCCTGGTATGTGTCCTGGGAGGAGCACTGAGCATGTGTCTGATAGCATGTGTCTGATAACATTATTATCTGCGCTATGCTACCTGCATTTAGTTTTTAAGCTTTTGGGAAAGTCCACTGAAGGCATTGCTGAAGTGGCACCGGATTAATGAGGCAACTTAGGCTGTGTTGCACCAACAAGGATTACATTTGTAACGGAAAATCCGGTCGCACCAAACTTGAAAACGAGCTTAAAACGAAGAAAGATTTAATTTAAACGTCAGTTTTAGTCTAAACCTAGATTCAGTTTAATGCTGTTGCACCAGAACTTAAGTTCCAGTTTAAAAGGTGATCCAGTATTGACTTTTGAAGGGAAAGTTTGGGTGTTTTTGCAGTTGGACTGTGTGATTTACTTTTCTATAGTCGGAGTATTGCTTACAGTAGATGGCGGTCGACACAAACCCGGTTTGGAGAACCAGACCGGAGCGCCGCTCTGCTGTGGACGAGGCCGGCAGCGACGCGTATTCAAGATGAGAATCGTCACACAGTGGTCGTTCTGTCGCCATCGCATCATCTTTGTAATCTATTCTCATGTTTCTATCCTCCATATTCTTCCTCCGCTCTCTCCTTGTGTTTCCGTCCTCGGAGGCGCTCGTTCCAGACTTAAGTGCATCTTTTCATCGTGTTCGCTCTGCCTCATCAGTCGGAGGCCCGAGGGAGTCCAAACACAGCACGCTGCATGGCCAAACTGAAAAATAACTACTCTTCATTCCCTTTAATGGTTCCGTTTTTCTCTCCCTCTTCTTGTTTCATTCTTATTCTCTTTTTGACCCTCTAGCCTTCGTTGTTATTGACTTAAAGTTGTTGTCCTTTTTTTTTTCTTTTTTCTTTTTTTTTTATAAATCTCACCGTTTTATCCTTCATCTTTTCTTTTTTTTTTTTTTTTTTTTTTTTTTAAGTTTTGCTTCTTTCGTTCTTTGTTCTGTCGTGTTATTCCCAAAGCTCCTTGTTTATCTCATATATATAATTTTCTTTCAATTCTTTACTCCTCCAGTCGTCTCAAACGCTTCAGTTTTTAATTCCCTCTTGTGTTCCACTCTTTCTCTCTCAGGTGGTGACACTTCCTCCTCCAGCACTGGCAGTGCCTCTCCGGTGCCCAACAGCTACGATAACCTGGAAGGGGGCAGCTATGCAGGTATCGTACACATACCGTTCATCTGAATAATAGACACACACACACACACACACACACACATAAATACTATATCTCCAAAATGTCGTAATCGGGTTAAAACAAACCACCTGTCTTCCAAACGTGCATCAGATGTCTTATAAAGCTGAACTCTCTCTTGTCTAGATTCCATGCCGCCCTCCGACCACATGACCAACCAGGCCCCGCCCTATGCTAGCTACGGTTACCCCGGCATGCAGCCGGCCTACCACCAGGGACCGGCCGCCCTCCCCGAGTCGACCCCGTCTCAAGACCCGTACGGCCAGTCCGGCTACCAGCAGTACTCCCAGGTACACATGTTGAATAGATGCTGAGAAGTGTTTTCTGTTTACCAGCCTGGTTTCAGATCTCTGAATTTAAAACCTCATCCTAGATGTTTAAGTGTTTCAGAGGTCTGTCGTTGCTTCTGTGAACATCTGTTTCCTCCACAGCCTTCAGGGGCCGGACTCAAGTTTGAGTCAAACAGATGGAAAGTCAGCTTTATCTTTTAGCAACTGATGATAAAGTTTATGCACTTGCCTCAACACATATTAAAGTTTGGCTACAATTTAGGCTTCTTGCACCAGCTGTTGTGTCCTTGCTGTATTGACTCACCAGTCCTGATTAATCACAGGAGTATAATTGAGTTATGTCTTCCTCCCTCCCTCCCTCCCTCCCTCCTCTGCAGCCATTCCCAAACATGTCCCAGCTGTCTGCGGCCCTGGGGGGGGTGAGCGGGGTGCCTGAGCTGGAGGTGGAGGCCCTGAGGCCGGTCAACCTGGTGCAGGAGAGGAACCTGCTGCCCCCGAGGCCCCTCTCAGCCCCGGAACCCAACCTCAGCCCCGACCTCAAGAAGGTCAACTGTTGTCCTCAGTAAGTGAAGTGAAGGGGCTCTAACGATTGGTATTTCATATCCGAGACTCTCACTCTGCGATTGTCTAATCTGTGTGTCTGTTATCTGATGTGTTTTCTCTTCAGGTCCTTCAGGTGTACCCTGACCAGCATCCCTCAGACCCAGGCTCTACTCAACAAGGCCAGGCTCCCTCTGGGCCTCCTCCTCCACCCCTTCAGAGACTTACAGGTATGATCTGATGTCTGAGCCCCCCCCAAAAAACTCAATAAACACTGGAGTATCCAGTGTATGATGTCCCATGCAAGGTTGTTTTTGTGGGAAAAAGAATCTCATTCTAAGCATATTACCCTGAAGGAAAGGCTCCTCGCTATTTAACTAACTGATGACCGGGGGAAGACTTCATCACGTATAAAGAGTGCTGCTGGAGTGAGTCCTTAACCTGGAAATGAGTCAGCGTTTTTAAACTTCTGGTTCCCTCGTCTCAAACTAAATGTGATTGTGGTTTGATACCGTGGTCCACACGTTTTAAGAGATTTGACGTTTTGTTTGATGGCATAAAATCCGTCAGTAAATAGACGTTATTTCAACATTGTCTCTGTGCTTTAGCTCCGATATAGATTTATTTGCTACTTGGAGCCCAATTTTAGACCATGTTTTACTGTGTTATGTTACATATTTTAGAAATACCTGTAAAAACCTATAAATATATATCATGAGCATAGACGTCTACTAAACTTTCAGATAAATTGACATGTAAACAGATTTATGAGCTGATTTTCAACGTCAAACGCTCCGTTAGGTCTTAAAGTCGGTTGCTAACAAATGTCACTAGAACACTAGTCCTCCTTCATCTTAGTGGAGAAGACGTGAAGTCATGTGACCGTGTTGGAGTTCCTTTATAGCCCAACGTTAGCTTTTTACTTCCGACTATTGCGTTCTAGCTTCAAAACTCATTAAAGTGGTGCTCATTAGTTCTTTTTGAACAAAACGTGTGAACCTTTGTTTGCCAAAAATCAGTCTTTGTCCTCTTGTGACTACTGGAGCGGTTATGAGTCTGTTGACAAGCAACTGCAGTGACAGCGGGACAGGCACGAGGAGAATGATGATGAGGAGGAAGATGGGTGAGTGTATTTATAGTGGTGTTGGTCGATGTGCTGTCTGAGGGCATGAAGTGACGGAGAACAGGGACGTGAGACACAAGTTGTGGCTGGAAACGTTGTTCACTCGAGCAGCAGAAGTTGTGAGTGGGTCAAGTGTATTTTAAGTCCATTTACAAGAGACCCACTCAATAAAATATGGTTTTAGCCTCGATTTACATTCACACATTAAAGCAGATTAACAGCCCTGAAGCTGGCCGAGAGCATCCTCGGTCTCCTGTGGACTTCTGCTTCTCTTTTGGCAGCAGCTGAAGTGCACGTTCACACTCTGCAACAGCTGCTGCTGCGTCCACAGCAGACGATGCAGGTTTCACACTCGCTTCACGCTGTGATCATTTGTGTTTGAATTATAAAAACAGACATTGGTTCTCCTCGACTGCTCCACTATTCACCTCTAAATCCTGCAACCGCTGATTATTCATTAAAAACAGAAATATCTGTGAATATGCTCTTTGCTTTAGCTCCAAAACAAGATGCGCTTTGTTTACTAGCACTTCATAACCTGTGCTAGACGACCTCACACTGCTCGGTGTGCAATAAATGGCCTGTTCTGAAACGCTGCTACGTGAGAAGGGAAAGTCCTTGAGAAGACATTCATGGAAGCAGAAGAGACAAAGGAAGACCACAGTTCTAAAGATTCCACAGAAACAAAGCTTCTCTTCAGTCGCCTGCCGAGGCTCGAATAAAGAGAGGAATGTTTAGGAAAGGTCACGATTGAGGCTTCACTCGAAAAGAAGCACAAAATGTAAAATGTTCAGCTCATGAGACACTTGTACTTTCCCAGTATTTTATTTTCTCCTCCTCTCTCTGCAGCAGCTGCCGGTGATCACGTCCAACACGATCGTGCGCTGTCGCTCCTGTCGCACCTACATCAACCCGTTTGTCACCTTCCTCGACCAGCGCAGGTGGAAGTGCAACCTCTGCTATCGGGTCAATGACGGTATGAGTGCAGTCATGAGGAAGTCATTACTGTGCCCAGTCGTGTAATTGTTCTGTGTCAAACCTCCTCTCTCTCTCTCTCTCTTCTTTCTTCTTCTTCAGTTCCAGATGAGTTCATGTACAATCCGGTCAGCCGGTCGTATGGCGAGCCCCATAAGAGACCGGAGGTCCAAAACGCCACCGTGGAGTTCATCGCCTCCTCGGACTACATGGTGAGCCAACGGTTCTTTTCCAACAAATACATATTTAAACCGAGAGGTATCGATGCGTCTGCCGGCACCAGAAGAGCTCTTGAGGCCTAAACTCTAAACTTGTGCACAGAAATGAACAGAAAACATAGAGAAATTCACAACATAATAAATAAACTTGCATCCCCAAACTGTTGTTTTCTCAAACAGCGTTAATTTACTGAAATGTAATGACATTTTAAATTATTAAAAAATGCAGATTCATGACTGTTTCTTTTAGGAAATCTTATCCCAATAATGTGCAACTTTAATATCTATTTAAGAGAATCTGTCAGTAGCCGTTGCTCATAGTAAGGCCCGCCTCCAGGAAGAAGAAAACAGTCGGTACATGTGTAATACCGACCATCTTTGTCTCAAGATAGAGCTCCCAAATATTGTTTATTTGTCACGTTACTGTGCGAGGTGATAGGACAGTACACATCTACCTGGTGTTTGTTGGAATCGTTACGCTGACATTACCGGTAAAGCCAAAAGCTTCTCGTTGGTATGCTTTACTCACAGGTGTGTGAAGTGCACTGGAGACGAAGCGTCTGTAGCACAAAACAATACGTTAGTTTCTTCTCCTCCGCTGCTGCTTACATTTAGAGGAAGCTCTGTGAGACGTCTCTTCCATCCCGATGCTTTCTGCAGCTCTTTAGAGTTGTGAATGTTCATGTGGTTTGATTGTTTGTCCACTAGAGGGCAGTCTTGTAACAATAAACCCGTCTTATCCCCACTAATCATGTGTGGTTCTTGTGTGTTCAGCTGCGGCCCCCTCAGCCTGCAGCCTACCTGTTTGTTCTCGATGTGTCTCACAATGCCGTGGAAGCAGGTTACCTTAAGTACTTCTGTGAATCACTTATGGACAACCTGGACAAGTGAGTGCTGTCGATGATGCAATGCCATAAATGTGGCTGCTTCGTGTCTTTGCTTAATGATGGCAGTAAAACAAAGACATTTGAATTGTTAGCCGCATGTTATGTGTTTCAGGCTGCCGGGGGATACTCGCACCAGGGTGGGCTTCCTCACCTTCGACAACACCATCCACTTCTACAACCTCCAGGAGGGACTGTCCCAGCCGCAGATGTTGGTGGTGTCGGACATAGACGGTACGTCTCCATGCTCTGTTTTTAACCTCTAATAGTTTAGTCTAAAATGAAGCACTATTAAAGAATTATTTATTATTTTAAAGCACATCCAGGAATAAACGAGGTTTGTAAAACCAGTAAAGTAGTCAAGAGGTTGGAAAGCCGCTCAGATTTTACTTGTTTGTTTTATTTTTTCAGACATCTTCATACCGTCTCATGACAGTCTGATGGTGAACCTGAAGGAAGGCAAAGAGGTACAGACTTCTGTTTTTGTTGTGCACATAAATAGCTCCAACAACACTTCTCTTCCCATTGTCTCGTTACTCTCTCATGATTTCCTCTCTCTCTCTCTCTATTGTACTTCCTCCTCCAGCTGGTGAACGACCTGCTGACGTCTCTGCCGGGCATGTTCAGCGAGAGCAAGGAGACCCACAGCGCGCTCGGCCCGGCGTTGCAAGCCGCCTTCAAGCTCATGTCGCCCACCGGGGGCCGCGTCACCGTATTCCAGACCCAGCTGCCGACGCTGGGGGCCGGGTCGCTGACGTCAAGGGAAGACCCCAACCAGCGCTCGAGCACTAAGGTACGAAAGAGACGGCGGTTATGGGTTTATGAGGACTTCTTTCTTTTTTCATGTACTGATCTTAAAGTTTGAGATTCTGTCTGAGACTTCTTTTTCCGATTATGAAACGAGACCTCTAAATAGTGGCGCTGCATTCCCTGTGATTTATGAAGCCTAAACTAAACTATGTGACTGATGAAATATAGCAAGAAGACGACACCCCCTGCTGTGTGGATTCATACTCGTCCTGGCATTCTCAGTGCTGCTGCGTTCAATTTATATTCCTGCCACAACTCACTTTAATTACCAGCCACAACGTCACCGTCTCAGTTTAGAGATGGATCGTTCATTGAGGATCCTGCTGAGCTACAATCTGCGTTCCCGTCGTCCCGGGACTGTGATTTATTGATCGTAATCATCTGTGTTTGATCTGAATAAACTGCCAAGAAGTTACAGCAATAGTGAGCTAAGAACAGATGTGCTTTCTTTCTCAGAAAGGGGATTTTATGTTAGTTTGGTGAAATATAATCTCCATATAATACTACATCTAATAAATCATGTAGTGGACAAAAGTCTATCCAATAGAACAGGAGGCTTTGGTGGTGATTTCTTCCTCTACGCAGCAGAAGACGTAACGAGAGGATTTCTTGTTGTAATCGGTTGTGTCTTTATTCTCCAGGGAGTTCAGCACCTCGGCCCGGCCACAGACTTCTATAAGAAACTGGCACTGGACTGCTCGGGGCAACAGATCGCGGTGGATCTGTTCCTGCTCAGCTCCCAGTACACGGACCTCGCTTCGCTCTGTAAGAACACTCGTCAACATTTCAACCTCCAATGACGCCTCTCTTTCGCCACAAAAGGGCCGTTTGTCTGTCTGTATTTATTTTGTAATGTGAAGACAGAAATTCAACAGGCTGAGTTTGAAAGCCTCAAAAGAAACATCTGATGAATCTTTTCAGACCACTCCTGCAGCATTATCCTCTTATCTATTGTCGATCCCCTCGCTCAGTAGTGATGGGTAATAATTGCACTGCGTTCTCCAAGCTTACTACAGCTTCTGTCCTCAGACACCTCGTCAAGCCTTTAGGAAGAGAGCCCTGGATACTCAAAGGACAGATTCACCTCAGATTATTAGTTTCTATCGCGCTCATAATGAGTATTTCTTGAATACTTCACCTCTCCTCCTCTTCTTCAGCATGTATCTCTAAGTATTCGGCGGGCAGCATCTTTTACTACCCCTCCTTCCATTACATCCACAACCCGGCTCAACTGGAGAAGTTCCAGAAAGATCTGGAGCGCTACCTCAGCAGGAAGATCGGCTTCGAGGCGGTGATGAGAATACGATGCACTAAAGGTAACCGGCTCCGCGGAGTCAGACGCACACAGACGCTCTGTTTTCAAGTGTCTTCTCTACAAAGTGTCTTCTCCACACTGCCCTCAGGTTTATCCATCCACACGTTCCACGGTAACTTCTTTGTGCGCTCCACCGACCTGCTGTCCCTGGCCAACGTGAACCCGGACTCTGCCTTCGCTGTCCAGATGTCGATTGAAGACTCTCTGGCAGACTCGTCTCTGGCCTGCTTCCAGGCTGCTCTGCTCTACACCTCCAGTAAAGGTGCACAGACTCTCTCACTCACTCACTCTCACACACACACACACACACACCTCCCTTTCACACATGCAGTCTATCCCTGAAATGTTGGGGAATATTTCCGGCATGGGGTGTTGTGTGAATGGGAGCAGAGATCGATATTCAAGGGAATCTGTACCGCCAAATTTCCCACCTCAATACGTCGTAACATTTCAGGGAAAATGTCAAAAGACACTTTCACGTGGAGCGAGAGAAGCAATCACAAGACCCCGCTGATGACTTGTTGAATATTAAATACATTACAAGAACATTGACAAAAACAGCTCCTCGCCCGCCATGTTCCTGGAAAATAATAAGATGTCGCCTCTTCGATATAGAAACCTAGATACCACGTTTGCGCCGAATTGTAGCCGTCAAGATCCGCTAGTAAACAAATACAATGTGTGTATCGATTGATGCAGACTCGTCTACAAAATCGACTAACTTTCTTAATTCTGAACCAATTTCATTGAAATTTGGTTAAATGTGAGAAATGAATGCCGATACAACAGCGGCCAAGTGCACACTTGCATCCCATCTTCATCTTCTTCTTCTTCTTCTGTTGGGTTTTATGACGGTTGGCATTAGTAAGTGCTGCATTACCGCCCCCTGCCCCGTCTATTACAGCATTACCATGTGTGAAAATGCACTGGATGGAAATGTTCCTGTATGTAGTGCAGTGGTGAATCGTGAAAATCCCAAGCTGTGCCTGAAAAGTCATCAGAGTGATTTATTGGGACTTATGTGTGAACTCTGTGTGGGTCACTGTTTACTACTAAATACTGACTTTTCTTTTAAGTAAGACCTTTAAAGCTTCACCTGCTCCAGCAGCTTGTTGTGCTGTTGATGATGGTAAATACAAATATTATTACTGTATCTGATGATTCATCCGTCCGGCGCTGTAGGAAAAAGGAGAATCCGGGTCCATACTCTGTGTCTGCCGGTGGTCAACCAGCTGAGTGACGTGTATGCCGGAGCTGACGTTCAGGCCATCACTTGTCTGCTCGCCGACATGGGTGAGTTTGTCGCATAGGACTACAAATCATCCAGTAAAAGACTACAAAACCCACAGTCAGCAGGGCAGTAAGGACGATGGTTGCTGCCCGGCTCAACCATATCAGCTGATTGTGCTAGTGAGGGAGCTGGAAGGGAAGGGAGTGTATGTAGGAAAGAGACAATGGGTGCTTTTCATTATTCAAGTTGCCTCCTCGCTTCCCTCACTCGCGCCTCTTCCTCACGTCTTAGCTCCTCCCACTGAGGATGAGGAGAGAGGACGCAAGGAAGCATTAGTTAGCATAATTTACAGCAATGAGGTGTACACAGAGGAACATCGCTTAAGCTATGTTACCAAGAAGACAGTGAGTTAGAACAATTAAGTTGACCTGTTCTGAGAAGACGGAAAACACTAAATTTATGTTGAAAACCAACGCTTTACTGTCTTCATTTCCTGCACCCTCTCCTCCAAGAGAAAAGCTCCTGACCTCTTAAGACATCTCAATGTGTTAACAAACATTACAGGGAAAAATGGAAACGATAGAGAATCAGTAGAGTAGAACATTTCTCTTTGCAGTAGAAAGCAATGTCTTAAGAAACATAGAAATATGTGCATTTCATGTCCTCAACATGAGCTGCAGGCATTTCACAGCTTTTTTTCAGAACTGCACTAACCTGTCACACTCGTGTTTCAGCCATCGACCGGTCGATAACGTCCAGCCTGTCAGATGCTCGTGATGCTCTGACGAATGCGGTGGTGGATCTGGTGAACGCCTACAAGAGCAACGTGTCCAACCTGCAGCAGACCGGCGTCGTCCTCCCGGCCTCCATGCGCCTCTTCCCCGTTTACATCCTCTCTCTGCTCAAACAGGTCTGTCTGCACAACAAACACTCGTCACCATTGGTTTATTACAGGCTGTAGACACGCATACGAAACTGTCACGCATTCCACGTTAACGCCCAATGATCCACGTCAGGGTTACACATCCTAAAGTATGACCTGCTTTTACATCATCACTACCCTCCCTCTAGACACACACACACACACACACACAATAAAAGCTGAGTCTACAGTCATACAAGACCGTCTTCCTATGTGTTTAATGACTGTATTCATCCACCCAGGACTTGTTCATTCATACATCCAGGGTGTGTCCACTTTCAGACTCATTCTCACACTCTTTGCATCATCTGAGACTAATGCCCCTAAAGGTCTGACTGCAGTGTACACCCTGAACATTATGAACACAGTTCCCACTGTTCACTGTCACCGTTTAATCCACCTTCATTACAAGGTAAAGATATTCAGATAGTATTTGTAAGTCCTTATAAGGATAGTTGTGATGTTTTGAAGTGTGGTAGTATGAGGTACTTCTCCGTAGTCGCTGTATTACTACAGTAGATGGAGTTTGGAGTACCAGATAGGAGTACCAGTAATAGAGTGCTGTGGACGTATTTAAGACAACTAAAGGAATCATTGTCAGTTGAAGTGAACTCTATATTTAGAATACTTTCAACACTGTACCTTGCCGTCCGACAGCCCTTTACGAAGGGGAACAGAAGCCTTTGTGTTCGTCTGTGCTTTCTTCAAAGCCACATTCTCCTTTGACAAAAACAGTAATTTAACCTTCTGTCTTTAGTGTTTTAAAGGGTTAGTCCAAAGTTACAAAATGACACGAACAAACTAAACGATGGAGGCAGCAGTAGACCAGAAACTCCTGTTCAGCGAGGTACAATTACGGTTTTTGTCAAAGGAGTCTGGTGACTTTGAAGAGAGCATAGATGGAAACAATGTGTCTTAGGTGTCTAAAATACGTCTACAGCAGTAGAGTCCTTTTTTAATGTAGTTAATATACCGACTAAGTACCTCATGCAACTTTAGCAGATTATAACCTGCAGTATCAGTAACTGATAGAAAACTGGGCAGCTTTGGACGATGAAGTGACTATGAAGCCACATCAGGCTTGAAAACAGGAAATGAAAGAAATCCAAATAAATGAAATAAAGATTAACACTCGCACTAAAAAGATATGCGTTTCTTTCCAGAAAGCCTTGCGGACGGGCACCAGCACGCGGCTGGACGAGCGGGTCTTCGCCATGTGCGAGTTCAAGACGCAGCCGCTGCAGCAGCTGATGCGGATGTTTCATCCTGACCTGTACCGGCTGGACAACATGTCTGACCAGGTAGGACACGGACCAGAGCTGACGAGTCACTTTAGAAATCCAACGTGTGGTAGTGAAGCCCTGAAATAATTAGTGGGGATTCATTATTATTTAAATGCATTTAAAACGAACTTACACATTTACTTAAGTTATTATATCTGTGTGCCTTTGGAGCTGTGAGTGTGAACTTTGAATGTCCTCCAACTAATCCATTGCACTGTGTGCATCTCACCTGCAGGGGGCGCTGCGTCTGAACGACACCGTGGTTCCTCAGCCTCATCTGCTCCACCTGTCTGCTGACAGAGTGACCAGAGACGGAGCTTTCCTCATGGACTGTGGCAACGTAAGACTTCAGTATTCATTTAGATAATTGTAAACCTAAATAAAAGACAAGTGCGATGTTCTTTTGACCTTAAGGTTAAGTGATGGCTCAGCCCTTTATGGACGTTTATTATGTCATCATGAACCATAACGTAACAGCAGCAGCAGTACTTCACTTCATTCAGCTTCTCAAAGGCTTAAATCCTCAGTCAACGTCTTACTGTGAGCGAAACGTCCTGCATGTATTTCCTTCCACCAATCGGAGTTTGTGAGTGTTTTAACATTTCACTTTTTCAGGGGATTTAATCTCTGTGTGTGTCAGGACGAGGAGACGCTCTTCACTGATTCTCTGTTTCCGTCTGCAGGTGTTTTATTTGTGGATCGGCAAAAGCTGCGACGACCTGTTCATCCGAGATGCTCTGGGCTGCCCCAGCTACGCTTCAATACCCGCCAACATGGTCAGTAAGACTCTTAACTGTGTGCAGGCAGCCGTCGTTCAAAACGTGGGTTAAAGATGATGCTTTTATTTTATACCGAGGAGGAGATTTCCCCCGCCTCCAAACATGTCAAAGAATAACTATGATTAGAGAAATGGTGGGATTGTTTTGCACACCGCCGCCCAGTTTCTGCACGAGTGATGCAACGCAGCGTTGCACACATTTGCCCTGACCATGAGTCACAGATTTGCTCCACAATAACAACATTTCTCTGTGTTGTTGAAAAGAAAACAACTCGTGCAGCAGAACACATTTGCTGTCGTAGCTTTTTGTTTTAACGTGCAGCTAACTAGAAAGCTCTGTCATCACCGCGCATGGTGACATCCAGAACAAACAGCAACCCTCAGCACTTGTTTATGCTGCTCATTGTATTTGTTTGCCAACTACGAGCCCCGCGTTTTAAACCACAGGCATATTCCTGTTCACCCCTGCTGTGTAGCCGAGACAACCGCGCGAGTTATCTGTTTCTAATCTGAGACGCGCGGCCGCGAAAACAATGCAGCTGATGTTTTTGGTTCCGCCTCTCTATCTTTCTCTCTCTGGATCCCAGAGTCACATTCCTGAGCTGGAGACGACTCTGTCTGAGAGAGTGCGAGCGTTCCTCGACTGGCTGCAGGACAACCGAGCGTTCAGCTCCACGATACACGTCCTCAAGTAAGCACCGCCGCACATCTGGATCAACATCCGACTTCTGCTCGCACGTCTTCTCGCATCCAGATGCTGGACAGTCTGAGAGGCTTTTTCTTCTTTTTCTGTTTACTTTATTTTTACGTTTTTAAAATGTATCGTAACAGCAAAAAAATGAGTCTCACTTCCTCTTCCACCAACGCTACCAGCTGCCAAAAATTAGGAGTGTCCAGCATCAGTTCCCAAAGTGGTGTGGCAATAAATAAGAATGAAGTTCAGCTGAAAGGACGACAGTTTTAAAAGTGTTATCTTCTGAGTGAAGGGCTGAGATGAGGAAATATGAAACACCTTCAGGTTGTTGTTTGTTTGTAGAGCTCTGAAGCAGCCAAACAACACTCGCTCTCTCCACCCAAAATGTTTTACACTAAATATATATTGAGGTCAGAGGTCATGATCCTCCTGTAGTGGTGTCTCTTGGGCGGTAAGGCTTTAAGCCTTTGGTCATGCTTTTCCTCACTGACGTGAGCTGGCGTTGGATCTGTTACACCCCTGTGAAGGTTTCTCCTGGCAGTAAGCTGGTGTTCTCCACAGCTGTAGGGGGCAATGTAGCGTCTACAGCGTCGCTTCAGCCCTTCTGCCTTCAACTAGCTAGAAGATCTCAAATGTGCACGGACATGAGACCCTCACGGATGAGTCCAGCATCAATCATTCGTTGGGCTGTAGGCTGATGCTGAAATGATTAGTCAATAAATACAAGAAAATCAATTATTGGTTTAAAGTCATTTCATCTTTTTTCTCTTTTTTTGAATGATTGAATATTTGAGTTGGGACGATTTGAAAACCAGCTATTTTAAAGAAGGTACTTTCTTGCTCTGGGGAACTCTCACATGTTTCCCCTTTTCTGTTCTATTTAAATTAAACTATTCATCAAAAATAGTCAACAGGAGTTTTTAACTTGAGGCTCTTTGCTGGAATCAAACTGGAGACGTTGCCGTTATAGTTCATGTGCTTTGCCAACAAGAATCCCCGACAGATGAATCTGTATGAAACCATTAAGCAGTTTCAGCCGGACTTCAGTGAGTCCCTGAGTTGATCTGTCGGAGAGAAACGGCGGCGTGGACGTCGTCGTTGTCAGCGATCTGAAACATTTCCAGCAGTTTGCTCTCGACAGAAACACGGTGGGACCAGTTGTGTTTAACTGGAATCATTCTCCCAGCAGCCATCACTCTGAGGTTAAACAAACAAACGTAGTAAGCAGCGAGGTTATTGATTGACAGCGGTGGTCAGGTCTTCCAGAGGGAGTTTCCTCTCTGTGCTCCTCTGTGGCACCACATGTTTACACCACATGTTGTTGTTGTTGTTGTTGTTGTTGTTGTTGTTGTGAGGGCTGATGTCGGTGCAAGAAGACGGAGGATGTTTGCATCACTCTTACAGATGAGAAATGCGTGTGATTTTTGGATGAAATTTCTTGAGATACAGTTGCATTCTAACGGAAATAAGAAGTTTGCCTCCAATAACGGTCAATAATAAAACAACAATATGTAAAAGCCTTGAGTGTGAACCTAAAGGCCTTATTATCAGTTTTGTGGTGTTTTAAAGCTCTTTTTTAGGATTTTATCTTTTATCAAGGATTTTATTTTTATAATCCACTGATTACTTTCTCAATTATTTTGCCAATTAAATGAAAGAAAAAAAGTGACAAATGCCCTTTAATTATTTCCCGTAGCCCAAGTTCTGTGTTCAGATGTCTTGTTTTATCCGACAAAGGTCTAAAAACCCAAAGATGTTCAGTTTACCCTCATAAATCACGAAGAAAAGCATCAAACCCTCACATTAGCAGCGCTGGAAACTGTGAATATTTGGCATATTTACTTGGAAAAAAATGAATGAAGCAGCAAATATTGGCTTTAGATTTCTGGTCAGTTTGTGCTTTTCTTCCTGTTTTAAATCAAAATTTAAAAAAAAGTGTCTTGTTTTTAAAGGTTTATTATATTTGCAGTAGCACCAGCCTTACATAGAATTTAAAAAGTATCCGTCTAACCCTCCCGTCTCTCTTTTGTCTCCCTCAGGGACGGTGCTTCGGCTAAAGCTACTTTCTTCCAGTATCTGGTCGAGGATCGGTCCGACTCGACTTTCTCCTACAGTGAATTCCTGGAGCACATTCAGCAGCAAATGTCCTAGTCGGCTCCCGTCACACAGAGAGAAACTGTGGCCGCTGGAGTCCTCAAACCAGAGCAAAGATTTGGGATTCCGGCCTCGTAGAGAGCAAACTAGCGTTAGAAATGATGGACATCCGTCGCTCCTTCGTTAGCGAGGCGGGTTAGCTCCCGTTCCTCCAAACAGTCTCATTTAACAGACCCCCCCCCCCCCCCCCCCACGTTAATCGGTCAGTCGGGATGTGACCATCGGAAAGGGGAGGAGGGTGATAGTTGTAGAAAAGAATAAATGAATGGAGGATTGGAGGCTCCTCGCTGCCTCTGAACCACTGTCCTCCCCCCCCCCCCCCC